GGTTAGATGGACAAGTTGTTCAGTGAAGATGTGAATTAATTTGGTAACATTGGTACAAATAGGTGAATATGAAAAATAGTATTTATATAGGATATGTGGAGTGGGAAGTTCATCTGATAGAATTTTAATTCTAAAAGATTTAAGAATAAAAGACTAAAGCTGTAAGAAAAGTTTGAGATTTTTTGATTATTGTTAATATAAAGCCAAATGGCTTGTCAATAAACTTGGTTAAGGATTTTGAGCCATTTTTTAAAATAGTTTTGTGTTATCTAAAGTGCATATATATATGCATGACATATTGTATAAATGTTACAATGAGTAGGTAACTCTAAGAGAAAATTCTTAAAGCTTAAAGTGTAAGCTAAGTTATAAGTATTATAAAATATAAAAATAAGGTATGACATGTTGTAATGGTTATATGCTAGTTGGTCAGCAAGATTGTTATATTTGTTATCTTGATAAGCAGTAATTTTGTAAAAGATAATATAGATATTATATGATTTAATGAAATTGATAAGTATGTTCTATAGTGAGAAATATAGCATATGAGTATATAATATAATTGTTGTTGAGTTTATAAGACTGTTGTATTTAGAAATTACAGATTGTGAATCTGTATATATGTTTATAGTACAGATTTTAGAAGCAGTAATAAGAGCTAATAAAATAGCAATAAGCTCTAACTTGAATAAGCAAGGCCAATATTTAGTTTGAGCTTAAAAGATATGAAGTATGGAGTTATTTGAAACTTGAGCCTATCTGATACCCATTGAGCATTGTAGGGTATACAAGTTTATAACTGAGCCATCTGTATAAAAGTGAAGTTCTGATAAGTTGAAGTTATAATTAGCAATTTACTAAAGGTTATTTGTGAATGAACTATGTTCAAAGATATTTGAAATTAAGTGTGTTGTAATAGTAATGTTAGAAGGATTTGGAGTTTGAATAGGATGTTTAATTCTAATAAAATATATAAGATCAAAATAGTTAGCATTAAAGTTAAGAGTTTTGTTATATATATTAACTAGATTATAAAATTTAGTTAAGACATTAATAGGAATAATAATTGTACATTTGTTAGCTATAGTGTAAGAATTAAGATAACAGTCTAAGTATGCATTTAATTGAATAAGTAAAATAGGATAAAGGTGAGTAAATTGTGATTCAATATAATATTACTAATGAATTATCAGAACAGTTCCAAATAGTGAAAGCTGTTTTCTAGCTTTGCTAATAATAATTTGGTTGTCAAGAACTATAATAAGCCATAGTTTTTTTTATAAGAAAAATGTTCAGTTGTATAACTCTAATAATTCATATTAGGTAAGTATAAATTTTAATAAAGAGTATGATTGTAAGAGTAACTTGTAACTTGTCCTTCAAATAGGTAAACCAGAGTGGTTGTTTGTCTTTAAGAATTTTGTTTATACATAAAGAAATATGTTTTCAGTTTAGAAGACATAAGTTATCAAATATGATAAGTTGATCTAAGTATAAAATGCCATAATGTCTGAGTTGTTTTTTAAATGTTATATATTTAGAATATGAGAAAAGTAGTGATTTAAGTAAGATAGAGTCTTCTTGAATAGTGCATGAAATGTTGTATAGTAGATTAGATATAAACATCATGCCAAGATATTTAAAGAGCTTAATAATCTTAAAATTAATTATATGCTTGTTGAAATTATTAATAATAGGGATATTATATATTAGAATACTGGTAGATAATTATAAATTATTTTAAAGTTGTTAGAGTCTAATGCAAATACTTATTTCCAAAAGACCAGATGAATTGAGTCTTTTGATAAAGTTTGTAATATAGTGTTATAATTGAATATCACATATATTATGAATGTTGTAAAGTTGAAGATAGAGTAGTATACTTGTAAAAATTGTGCGATTGAGTTTAGCCTTATTTTAACAAGTTTAATATAACTTGTAAGAATTTTGTTGCATGTATTTTGACTAAAAATAATATTATAAAGACAATACTCAATTGTAAGAATAATGACAATATTAATTATGTATCATGCATATGTATCTGTAATTTATTTAGTGCTTGCAATTTTGATAAGGTGTGATGACTTAGCAATAATAAATTCAAATTGTTTAGTTTGTTTGTTGTTAAATCTGAACCAGTATCTAAGAAATTTAAATACTTTATTTGATGAATGGAGATTTAGAAAATGATTATTATATATAATAAGAGTATAGCCAGTTGAAGTGTTGTTAGTTGCTAATAAGGACTTGGAAGAGTTAATTTGAATATTAGTTATATTAAAGAAAGATTTAGCTGTTGATAGAATTTGTGATAGCTTTTGTTATGAGAATGCAACCTATAAAGTGTTATTTATATAAGCAAGAACTGAACAATGTGAGTTGGATTTGTTGTATGTTTTGTGTTTAAGGTTAGTAAGCCAGGAAACTTATATAGTATAATCTTTAAAATTGTTATAAATATAGGTAATAAATGAGTTATAATAAATTCTTCACAAAAGTAGAGTAATAGTTTCACTTTGATCAATTCTATTAAGTATTGAATATGATGAGATATGACCAAGATTTGTAATAACTTGGTTATGTTAATCAGTAAGTAAGTTGATAATAGCATTAGTAATAGAGTTAAGTAAGGCAAGACATTGAAAAGACTTTTGAAGTAGAGTTAGATTAACAGAATCATATGCTTTGCTCATATTCTGAAACATAAGCCAAATTGGTTTTTGATTACATGATGCATTCTTAATAAGTTTGTTAAGTATATAAATAGAATAGATGTACTATTGTTAAGTAAAGCTATATAATTATATAGTAATAGAATAGAATGTTGTTAGAACATAGTACTAATCCTAGTAGTAATAATTTTTATATACATTTTTTGAATGTGTTCAATGAGACTTATAGTGCAAGTAAGATTTAAGTTACCATTAAATGTATTATGTTTAGGAATAGGATATATTCTGCTATATTTCCATTGTTTAAAAATCTGAATTGAAGTAAGATAGTGATTGAATAAAGCAGTGATAGCTTTAATACAAATAGTACATGCATGCTTAAGCATTTCATAGCTAATGCCTGTAGGTTTACAGGCTTTTCTATTTGAAAGTTTTGATATAGTTTAAAGAACTTCTTCTTTAGTAATAAGAGAGTTGAAGAAATTGTACCACTGAGTGTTAATATGTGATTGAGGTTGATATTGTATATGCCAAAAGTTATCAAACAAATTTTGATCAATTGGTCAATGTGCTGTTAAGTTAAAAAAGTAGAATTGCATATTTTGTTTGATAAGATTTAGTTCTGTAATTAGTTAATCAGAAAGTTTGATATTGGAAAAATAAATTAAAAGTTTGTAACAGTTAAGAATGCTATTAATAGCTTGTTTAGAATGTGTTAGAAGAGTTTTACATTTTTTTCCAGTTACTTAATATATTTGTTGTAAAGTAATAATAAGTTTTCAATATGATAAGCATAATAGAATTGCTTCCATATGTTTTGTACATGTTGAATCCAGCTGTATAAGTTATCATATAAGGTAAGAGCTTAAAGATTACATTTAGATCTATTGTTAATAATCTGAACTTTAATATTAATTAGTTTAATATTAAGATTATTAGAGCTTTTAATAATTTTAATTAAATGTCTAAGTTCTTTTAATAATAAATAGAGTAATATAAAATAAGAAGAGTATTGATAGTTGTAGCTATGTTTTCAAGTTATTTTGTTAGAAATAAAGTGTATTGCAGTATTAATAATTACATGTTTAATTTTGTGTCAAGTAGTTTTAATGCTTTTATTAATATTGCTATTAAGTAGAATATTGTGTAGGTTAAGGTTATAAGAAAAAAGATCTGAAAATTTTATTCATTTTTCTGATGTTATAGTCTTGTAGTTAAAAATTCTATAGCTAATGCTAGTGTAATATTATAGTAGTTTGCTAAATGCCTTTGTAAAAGTCCAAGTAGATATAAAAATAGAGTAATCACTAAGTGTAGAGGAATTACTATCATTGAGTTTATATAAAAAAAAGAATTAAATATTAAATAAGTCAGTCAAATATAGTCAATATAACTTTGATTAATGTTGTTTAACTATGTGTAATATTTATTATCTACATAACTTTTAAGTTATTAAGCTATACAAAATCTATAAATAATGTATTTCTTATTTAAAAACTTATTTATTTATTTTTTTTTAACATTTAACACTGCTGTAGGTGTTCAATCAACACTATGAGTAGAGGGTATTAATGTTATTATTAAGTTTACTCTAATAAGCAAAACAAGCTTATATGAACTTATAAATATTTTAAACAATAAATTATTAAGAAATTATTATTTATTTATTACAACTATTAGTTTAAAGTTTATTCAAATTTACAAGTTTAATGACATTAGCTAAATTATTGTCTAAAGTTGATATATGGATTGCTAAATTTTTAATGCTATCTGTTTTATCTATACAAAAAACTGAAATAGCAGAGGCCCTTTAGTACAGTTCAACATTAATTTCTAAAGAAAGCATAAATATAAATTTTATATATAAATAACTTTAAAGAAACATTGGTTTTTTACTAAGGAGTTAAATATATATCGCACCCCCTGTTATAATCTTATATATCACTTTTGGGTGTGATGCCACTATATATCACGCATTATAAAAAATCATATGTATACGGTGTCCCAAAACATTTAATACGTAGATATTTTACTAATAAACCTGCTAACCGATTAATGCTTCGCAGGTTTGATCTAACCGAATCGTCAGATTTGACTCGGGTTACATAAAATGCTACTAAATATATGTTCACATACGCATATATGTAAAAATTTTATTACTACGTACATATTTGAAATGCACTTTTCTACATATACAAAAAAAAAATAGCCACACTTGAAGAAAGTGTGATGAAATTGATTTACTGTATATTGGTTTGACTACCTTTTTTTCTTATGAAATGCTGAATTATGGCCAACTTTGCTACATGTATGGCATTTATAAGACTCTCAAGTTGAACTTTCACCATGTTTTTGTTCCTTTTCAACACTACTAATATATCTTTGTTTCTTTGGTCTTCCTCTACCAACAACCTTAGGAGAGTTTTGGATGTTGGCAAAACTTAATGCAGGCTTCAAAACAGAAGTAACTGATTCTTCAGATATGTATTCATCTTCTGATTCACAAGTGTCTTGATCATCGATCATATCATCAGATGAAAAGTGATTGGTTATGCTTTCTTGTTCCTGATTAGTCATGGTAGTTTGTTGATCTACAGAACGTTTGGCATTTACTCTCTTTTTTCTATCATTATAGCCTTTTAGAATCTGAATTATTTCATTATCTTCATTATCTACTGCAAGCAAAGTAGCTTCTCATGCAAGTCTCCAAATATGTTCGTAACAATTTCTTTTGTTAATGTCATTTTTAGTAATTGAAGCAGTAATCGGCATAGTAACTGGTTTTCATGCTGGAATTCTACTCAGGTCTGAGTTAACGATACTTTTTTTATAATCAAATGCTATTATATTATCTCTTTCTACTGATGTTACATTATCTTGATATGAATCTTTATACCATCGAGTAGGTATCATTGATACATGAAAAGCTGATATTCTTGAATGCATTATTACATGAAAATAATAACAACAAATAATGCCTTTGTTGATGCTCATTAGGCATGAACATAAAAAGGAAATCAGATTAACAACTGCAACGAAATGGACTGATGTTTTTTTTAATACGCAGATCTGTAACTTTCCAAATTTCCTTTATATCATTACTTCCAATTTCATCAATCATAGATTGGAGTGTTATATTTCTTGCGTCATATTGATCTTCAATAAATTCATCCTGAATTTGTTCAACAGTTTCCTATTTCATATTTATTGTTGTTAATTTATCATTTAAAACACATAAGTTTATTAATCTCTTCTATATTACCTGTTCCTTAATCAAATCTTTATTTGTAGGTTCAATCATTTTCGCACAAAAAAAAGATACTGGCCCATTTCCACTTTAATCATGTTGCTGATCGCCTCAGTTAGATATTCATCAAGTACTTTAACTGCCACGGGAAATAGAACTTGTTCAGCTGTAGGTGTCATTGCTGTTGTTGTTAATAATTTGTATTCATGAAAATTTTTTCATTGTATTTCATTTTTTAACCATTGATCTAAATGATTGGCAAGTTCACATAATGTGCTATTTGTCACTAATTCTTTCTTAATAATCCAATTATAACCTTCTACGCGAGAGGTGCTCTGAATGTCGGCAGTAAAAACTCTATACAAATAGGCACATACCCAGGATCGATGGTTTGGATAAAGAGCTCTGAGCAAATAATCATTTGCTACTGGATAATTTTTAAGTAAGTTTTTCCATCGTTTTTTAAACAAAGTCGCACATAAGCTGTTTCTACATTCATAGAATTTCTTTATAAATTCATCCCATTTATTTCCCAGTTTTGACTTTAAATTTTTGGGAAGATTTTGCCCGATATGGAAGATGCAATGAGCTACATGTGTAGTTGGAAAAGTAGCCGAAATGGCAGCGTTTAAAGCGGGGTCTACATCTGTAAATATCACGATAGGTTGCTTGTATATGGTTTTATCAACACATTTTAGAATCCACATATATGTGTCTAGTGTTTCATTAGTGACCAATGCTTGACCTACAAGTCTTGTTTTATTATTGTTATCAACAATAATAAAGAGAGATAATGGCATTCGATATTGATTTGTTTGTGCCGTATTATCATTAACCACCATGTTGTAATACTTCAACCAAAGGTTTATTTGTTCTGTTGACATCTAGAAGAGTCGAATCAGACGATTTTCTTCATCGAGTTCAAATTCAACTGCCCATCGTAGGTTGCTTATTTTTTTTTCCATTAATGAGGTAAGTAAAGTTGATGCATCATTTTCCTTATTAAGGTTATTTGTTCTTTTGATTTTGCTAATAGCATTAGCAAGATCATTATCTTAAATATTCAAATCTGGAAAATGGGCTTTAAGAAGCTTTTTTTGTGATGTAATTGATAAGTTTCCATGCTTAGACATTATTTCAATTTCTTTTATGGCTTTTTCATTTAAAACCCGGTATTTAGATCCAAATTTTTGGGTTTCTGGTACAAGAATGTGGTTATGTCTATTATCTAGTGTTGTTATTTGAGTTTGAAGCCCGGTCTGACCCAACGAGAGATTACAATGCCAAGGGCAATTTTTCTTCTTCGTTTTTGTATTACATTGTGTTCCATTTTGGACTGCTGCCAAACTTTTTTTAGGTTTATATATTCCATAAAATTCACAACAAAAAGTTGTGTTTTTTACTATTCCTGTCTTAGAACTTTTTTTTCTATATTTGTTGACCGCAAAACTGTTTCGTGCATCGTATTCCAAAAAAAAAGTTTCAACCTCATTCCACGAGTTGAAAGCTATATCTATAGGTATGTCCTCTGATTTTATTCTAACTAACAAAGGTATTTATATTAGTTCTAAGCAGTATTACGAGGAATTAAATAATTGAATAGCATTGGTATATGTGTCTTACTATTTGTATCCGATAGTTCTGGCATAGATGGTTTAACTGCATTCTTTTCAATTATATCCATATTACTTGCACTTTCTCTTGTGTTATCTGAAGAATCATCAAGTTCAACGTCTTCTAGATTCATGTAACTATTTTCAATATGATCGAATATGACTATAGAATTCATTAATTCGATCAACTCAGTTTCTGAAGTAGCTGACATATTTATTGGATTCATTGAGCTTAGAAAAGAGATGCTACGATTTAACATTTTTATTTCTGTTTTTGTTTTGGAAGCATGTGAGATATAGTAGTATCGCACACTGGGAGATCTTTTTAATTGGCCAGTAAGATTTGAGTGCGATGAATAATCATATAGCACCTTGTATATTTATTAAGAGAATTTTATAAGCGTGACTAGCATTATAGCACTAAGTATATCTCTTTTATTCAGTACGTTTGTAAAATTTCTTTTGAATGAAATTTGTGTTTTTTTTAACCGTCTTATATTTTGCTGTCAAAGTTGACCAGACTCAAGTTAGAGTTTGCTTGATTTATAGTTAACTACTAGAACTCTAGGGCAAGACTAATTTGCAAAAAGACATGCCTACCACCCAAATTTATTTCAGATCGTGCATTATGATTTTAATTAACATCATTTCATTACATCATTCTAAGTATGGAACAGTATTCGTTAAAATCATATCACATGATTAGAAATAAACTTGAATAGTAAAGTTACCCGGTTGCATTAGAATTGGGATTAAAATAGGAGCTGGACAAAATCCTGACAAACAAAATCCCGAAAAGATAACCTGAATTAGGTTAGCGTTAGCTTAATTCCGGTTAATTTTTTTTTGGATTCATTCTTCAGAATTATGTTTTTGAGATTTTGAACTAAACCCATTAAAATTAGCATATATGAGAATTAATATAACGAATTTTAAGTGATCTTGGCAAAATTTATTAATACCATTTAGAGCTGTTGATGGAATAACTTAATTTCAGAAGTTACAATATAGGTATTAAAGTTGGCCAAATCATATGACAATTTCTACTATATAGCACCCAGCAATTTCTGGTCGGAATATATTAGAGTTCCGGTTGGCAGGGCCGGAAATGGTTGATTTTTCTCAGGATCACTAAAATTTTTATCGTAGCCATTTATTAAGTGAAAATATCTGATCAGGATTGCACTGTAAAAATCGTAAATTACAGTATAATTATGTTAGTAAATTACATGAAGTTTAACAACCCTAATTCCGGGGCATCTAGTATAGTTTAAATTTAGAGTAGCTATTTGTAGTAGTTATAAACAACCTGGGTAAATGTTATTAGTCAATTTAATTAGTTAATTTAGCTTAATTCAGTTGTATATATTACATATTAATTTAATTAAATTTTATGTATATTTATTAAAATGCGATAAATAGCTATATAGCACCCTGCGATAACTATATTTATCCTTTTACTAAATATATTTATTATATTATAATTATATATTTACTATATATTTATAATATTTTTTTTAAAAATATAATTAATGTATAATAAAAATATAATAAAAATATAATAAAAATATAATAAAAATATATATTTATTTATATTAAATAACTTGTAAGAAAATATTTAATATATTTTTATAACATTTTTAAAATATATTTAAAATATAA